CATCCCTCAGATACATAAATCTTTCTTCTCTGTTGAAATATTGCTCTGGTCTGACACAATATTAATCCAATGACATATTAAATAATTCTTTGTAGTTGCAAATGCAGTGATCTTTCTCACTTGTTGAAACCCAAGTTGTGATATGTTGCCAAAAAGATATTTCATGTTTTTTAATGAGTGTCTCCTCAGAACAGTGATCTTTCAGCCCCTGGTACATAAACCTCATGCTTTTGGAAGAATTGATGTAGAGAAGCAGAGTCCCTGTGGGCTGTGACTCAGGTTCCTTCTGAACAGGATGAAGATGGATCCATCGGGGAGGTGAGGACAGGATTTGGCAGGCTCTACCCACCGCAGCACAGGCTCCAGAGCAAGAGCTCTGCTGTCTGTAGCATCAGGAGACCCGAGACATGGAAAGAAGCAGATGTGCAGGGCCACCATGCTCTTTCATCCAGAAATGCTGCCCAACACATCCCTGTACCGAGTGTGCCTGGCTCCAGCCCATGTCTCCATTAACAGCATCCCAGCAGCCACCTCCTAGCACCCACAGCCCACCTGCTGGCTCTTCCCCACTCGCATCCCAGCACTGGCTGTTCCTCAAAAACACCACGTATTTCTCACAAGCACATCCCCCAGGGCAGCACAGCACAGCACAGCTGACATCCTCTAGATACCCTGGGCAAGAATGAAGAACCTGCCACGTGCCCAGCCCGCCTGCTTTTTGCTTCATCCCCCTCGCAAAACCAAGCAGTTGTCAGCAGCTCATCCACCCACGCAGGACATCTCCCCCTGGCTGAGGCACTGGGGTGCTCCTGCCAAGGCAGGACCAACATCTGCAGTGAAATGCTGGGACTGTGTCCTGCTTCCCCAGCCAGCAAGAGCTGAGCTGCTGCCAGTGAGGGAGGAGGTTTCTGTGGGCACAGGATCGCTGGCAAAATGCTGATGCATCTGTGTGGTTGACTTCCTACACGCGCTCATCCTTCCCTGAACTCATGTGCCCTTTTTCCTTCCCTCCCCCATTCACCTCCTCCTGTGTTTAAACATCACCTTCCCTTTGTCTCCATGTCCTTAGAGCTGTCACCTGCCTGGACATCCACAGCAGCACTGCAGATGTCCTGCTGTGTAGGTGTCTCTATACAGCATAATCCTTCACGCTGCACCCAAGCTGTGTGCTGCAGGGTGGTTGGCGGGAGGACACGTGAGATATGGGAGCATCTGGTTCAGTAAGTTGTTTGGTTAAGGACTATTCGGTATCATAGAAATAACAAATAAAGAGGAAAACACTAAATTAAACACATAGACACACAAACATTACTGAGCAGGTGATGAGAGAGATAATAACAGAGGCCAGCGCTCGTCAGGCACTGACTGATGGGCCATTAAATGTACTCCAGCCTCAGAGATGGTCTGACTCGATTTTGTAACTGATGAGAAGGAAATATGGTTAGCATGAATATTAAGGGATATTTGAAGGAGATTGGGGGACTGCACAAAACTTACAAGAGGGACCCAGAGGGCCAGGGATGTACGTGCTTATCTGAGGGGTGTAAGTGCCAGCACCTGCAGCAGCCTGACTGTGTTTATATTTCCTTAGTGAATTCAGTCCCATATACATGTAATTTGCTCGCAAACCTCAAGCTGCAGTAGCTGGCAAGTAGAAGAAAAGACTCATGCAGAATCACACAGAATGGTGTGGGTTGGAAGGAACCTTTAGAGACCATCCAGTCCACCCCCCCCTACAGTGATCAGGGACATCTTTAACCAGATCAGGTTGCTCAGAGCCCCCTCCAACCTGACTGTGAATGTCTCCAGGGATGGGGCATCTACCACGTCACTGGGCAACCTGTGCCAGTGTTTCAACACTGTGGTTGTGAAAAAATGTGTTCCTTCGATCCAGTCTGAATCTGCCCTCGAGGTGTGAGCCAGGCTGAGTAAGACAGCCAGGGCACAGGCATACACACTGGAGAGGGTTTTCAAGGGATCCATGAGCGTGGGGTCCCTGTGAAGGTAGGCTATGTGTAAGAGTAGTGAGCTAAAACACAGCCACCAAAACACCAACCAGCTAAGATGCTCTGTCCCAGCACTGAGACATGTAAATACACTGGCTGAACAGAGTATTCATAAGAATGGTGATGTTTGTTCAAAGTTACATTGCAGGGTTTTTTGGAGCCAACCTGGAACTCTCCTGACAGTAGACATTCACCAGTCACCCTCCCAAATGCTGTTTGTGAGTGTGCTGAGCTTCAGACTTGAAATACATGCAAAGTTGCAACTGCAACAAGAAAGAAAACATGTTTTATAAAGTAATTACAACTTGCCAACAGGTGCTCAGCACAGGCAGGCCACTAAGAAAGCAGCTCCTATAAATAAATATAAAACCAGTGGGACTGTGGTAACAGGAGAGAACCTGCAAAGGACGTAAGGCACCCCCACTCAAGCTGCTTTCAGATAGACTTCACGTGCATCAGTCACTGTGAGGAACAGCTGCTGAGTTACAAACTTGTCTTTAATGAGTTTGAAGCCAGTCGATCATTTTCAACACCTTGAAACAAGGGAACCACATCTGAAAACCAAAAGGCTGAGGTTCAGGTGTCTTCAGAGCTGGAAAGAAAACTATACACAGGTACCAGAGTGAAAATTAAAATGCTTATTCCATTTCTTTGTGTGATGCTTTGAGCTGCTGTGACTGTAAAGCAATCAAATAACTGTAGTATCACTTTCAGTCAATACTGTTCCATAATGAATTCAAGTAAAGGCTGAAAACATAGAAAACCAGCCTAGGACACACAAATGCAGCCTTTATTTCCCCAAAGTAACTGGACGAATTCAGAGAGGTGGCACCCTCATAGCTGCCAAACACAAAGCCTGAAAAGTAGGTCTTGGAAAAGTTTTTTGCCTCCTTTTATGAGCTTGTCTTGTACAAAGCCATGAAGTGAATTAGAATTAGCCTATGTACACCAGGCTTGGGCAGCTGGTAAGCTTTTGCTAACAGAGCCTTGCCATCATCCAGCTGTTGAACTGCTGCAAATGGCCACCGAAAGCATTACAGTATTGCTGGATAAGAGGAATGCCAAGAGATAAGAAAAGTACCTTGGAAAGTATTTTCACAGAATTACTTTCTATTAAGACTCAAATCAGCAAAGTGAGCCATACTTTCATCTCTAGGCAATAAAATGGAGATATGTGATTTTATCTCTGTCTCTTTAAAGTTACTAAAGTACAGTAAAAACATTTTGTAATGGCGTTCAGAAATAAGTTATTTATCTCAGTATGAACTGTCACGTCACTCCTAAAATGCAGCAGAGCTTCCCCAGATTCCCTACAATACTTTTTCACAACTTAACGACCGTATATTAAGACACAAGTAAGCTAACAGTTCTCAAGATGCTTAAAACTGAAATGACAAATGAGACTTTTCAGTTACAGATTTATCAAGTAAGACAAAATACTGACACATTAAATTTTTTGACTGAAAGAACTCCCAAATACAGCACTAGGGCTAACGAAGGCTATGTCTGTAAACTGGTCTCCAACATTAATTACAAGGCTCTTCTTTCCTTTCTCATTTCCTTTCCATTAATATTTAAAATATTACAGTGGGATTCAACACGCTGACAATGTGGAAGAATGTAAGTAATAAAATCAAAGTGATTCACTCTCTCAAAGTGAGAAGAATCTGCCAGCTCACACAACAGCAGCATTTCAGAGGTGGAACAGGAATTCCCATGCTACTTGTTTGAAATGAAAAGAAATCTCCATGGGCTCGATGAAACTCGCACTCGTTGGTTTAAAACATCACACGAGAGAGAAAGCATCCAGCAGTATTGCAAAAGCACTGAGGCGTAGCCAGGTAAAATGAGGGAAGCGCAGAATAATATTTTATATTTGTTCCAATTTTTGAAAGTCTTTATTAAAAAAAAAGTTAAGCTCTAAAAAGTTACCTGCAGTGTTAATTCCTATTCTTGAATGCTCAACTATGTCTTTATTACAGACTGAGAAAATGTCTGTATCAGACGTTCTTACTTATCCTGTGTGTGCTGTTAGCAGTAATTTCTCCCCCAGAAAATTGAGTTGGTTGTACAAAACATCTCTTTTTGTGAATTTTTAAGGCTCTTTTCATGTCCACTGGAAGTTTTCTTGTTTAGGAATCTAGTTTAGGAATCTATTAAATTAGGAAAGTGATATCCACTCTCTTAAAGTGTCAAAATAGATGAGACTGTCCTAATAACTGTTCTGTTCCCACTATTTGATTGCAAAGTATGCAAGAAGTCCTCTCTTGAAAAGTACATCCAGAGCAGTCAAGAAAAATCAGAACGAAAATCTGAAATGAATATCATTGAAGCAATGCTTTGTTTCTGTCACTGCAGTAACTCCAATCTACATGCCATTAAACCTTCCTGGAATAAGAAAGCTGCACAGTTGCTTCTGAGTAACTTTGAGTCCTTGATCTAATAGAACGAGTACAAATTTAAGCTAAAAGTTTCCAAGCAGTCTAAATAAGGTGACTAGGTCATCATCACCTGTTGTCAAGAAGATCTTTTGAATACTGCACCTTTACTTCTTATTTTGACTTGGAGCTGTCCTCTGTGTCACATCCTGAGGTGGCCACCATCTTAGGTTCAAATGAAACAAGACATTTGTAAAACATATGGTCAAATGTAGACCAATAATCCATGCCTAAAACGTAGTTTAGATACCCCCTGGTTTACAATCTAGAGACAGGAGATACGAATAATATTTTTCTGTAACTACCATGAACACACTTACTGGTTTAGATAACAATGACCTGTTCCACAGCCCAATTATCTAAAGTCTAAATAAGGTTTTTGGTTATAGCAAGAAAAGAAAGGAAATTCCTATGTCTTTAATTCCAAGCTTCTCTACATTACCTGTATGCCCCTTCTACCCAATAATGACACCGATACTTAGATCACACAAATCTCATTTACTTAGACATTCAGACAGATTTATTAAAAATACAACAAATTAGAACAATAACAAAGCTAATACACATAAACTTTCACTTTGTGGACGTCACTGTCTTTGCATTCTCTTTGCTTATTGTAATAATAGAATGTATTGTCCCTTCTCTGAAGTTTCTTAACAAATCCCGTTTCTGGCCAATACTCTACCTACAAAGAGAATAAAAAGAATATAAATTTACCTGAACATGCTCACATTAAATTATGTTTGTGCATTATATTGCAAAGAATATAGGGTATATTTCCATGGGGAACCTCATTTGGATCTAAACACTACTTTGATATTCATGTGCTTAGCTTTTAAAAAAAAAGGTTAAGAGCAAGATGTCAGAAAACAATTTCCTGGTCTGATATAAAAAACTATGTGATCAGAGAAGTCTAGAAATAAAAATCTAAGAATATTTAACAGACTAGAGTAATTAAAAAGTGGACTAGTCAAAGGTTTTAAAATACCTCATTTAGGACTAAAGCATCGATGCTATTCAGCTCTTCAGTAATCTGAGAAGCTGAAAGATCCAACTTCTGTAAGACTGACACACACCTAAGGGTTTCTTTGGGATCCTTCTGACCGTGAAAAAATGTGCTTTTCATTAGCAATTTCATAAAAATAAACAAGCTATGTACAAGCTATGTACAAGCTATATGTATCGTACTCTAAACCAGGGAGAAACCAGCACTATCCATCCTACTGCTGTTCAGTCTTTCACAATGCGACGCTTTAAACAAAAGGCTCGAGCACTTGTGTGTTCAGCAGCTTTATGGCTTTCGTGGCTATCTGCAGCTGGAACACCTATGACCACTTATGATCAAATTGAACCACAAAAATCAGGTAATAAGGATCTCATTACTCTGACAATAGGATGTCAAACTAGAGCATTCTCTATGGGAGAGTCACAGAAGTGGCAGTTTCGTCACTTACCTTATAACTTCTTTTACCTTATCATACAGCTGAATTATTTGCATTCTCTGTCTAAACATAAGAGCCTTAATATTTATTCCACCTATATTATAATTGCATCATTAATAACAACTGCATTATGGAAACATAGTATGGAGTAACAAGACATTCCAAAATGTGTAAGTTGAAAGAGAACCACTACCAGATCCTGGCAAGTCTGAACAGAATGCATGGTCATTTTGCATTGAGTAAGTGGTGTTCTTTAACTTTTATCAGGGTTTAATTGTTTATGGTTATGCCCTGCCATAAATCTTAGACTGATCTACCACACTAATGGCAGGATTTCCTTTTGCATAGTTAAAGGAATTTACATCAGAGCCTTTACAATGTTATCTGAGCCCACAAAAAAAGAATAAATGGCATCTTATTGTGCACATCAACCTTTTGCTATATTTTAACTGGATAAGGAGTAGCTCTCTTAGGAACATTCTGCACTTATGTGTGCAGGAGGTTGCAATCTTTTAAAAGTGGATTTTTCATACTATATATGCTGCTTTGGAAGATAAATTACAGAGCTCTAATAAAAATAACATGTTGTTTTCTCTATTAACGTCTCGATTGCTATTTTGAATCTCAAGTAGCCACCGAATATCTGACCATTACTCACTAGCTCATTTGATGTGCTCTGGAGCATTGCCATCAACTATAGTGAGCAGACAACTAAGACCTCGATGTTCTCAGTTGACAAATGGCTGTGTCACAACTCCCTTTACCACAGTTGGGATCAAATATTTCTACTGTGGACAGTTTCAATAGAAACCCAGTTCTGAGTGTGCACAAAGTCTGATTATGCTACCACACAATTAAACCATAAAACTGAAGTCACTAGCACTGACACAGGACTGGCTCCCTGGACAACAAACAAGTTTCCTATCAGCTTTGCTGGCAGAGGAAAACTTCACAGAGAACTAATGTTGGTAAATTCTTTTCCTCAAAACCAAATTATTATTTTAGGTAGCAGCTACATCTATTCAATGTAAGAGAGGCAGAACAAAAACACAAGCTGGCTAATCTTTCTGTTTCACTTCTGTGAAATAAGTCATTCCACAGAGTTAATAATAGGCCAAGAGTTCAAGTCAGATCTAGGAGAAAAAAATTGTATTAGAAAGAAAACTAAATGAAAGGAAATAAGCAGCACCTCCATTTTTATTGAATTGTTTACCGTGAGGCAGAAGTTTCAAGTAATAAAGCTTGCAGGGTTCTAAATTTTACCGTATCAACTTGTTTTACTTGTTTATATTCAACTTCATCCCTGTATCCAGCTTGCTGAAATCTGTATAAGTTCTCTACATCATGTGACCATTTTTCGGCATCATGTATAGCTTTTGGTTTGATGTCAGCTTTAGTCATGACTCCAGAAACTTCAGACTTTTTCCTGAAATTAGATTTTTGAAAATAGAGAAGATGGAAGCAAGTGATTTTGTTAGGGATAGATAGAAATAGGTAGAACAAAATTTAAACATAAAGGAGTTACAAACAGTACAGTATTATCTTCCCCTCAAAGTCTGAGGTTGGAATCAAATTATATGCACTAACTGATATCAAACAAACTCAACTCACCTGTACTTCTATATACTCCTCCACACCTCGACTTAACCTACCTAAAATTTAATTATGCATATTAATGCATTAAAAATATATGAAATACAGTATTTTTTTTTAATTTCACATCTTCGCAGCTGCTGTCACTTTGGGGCAGGCAGTTTTTCATGCTTGTCTTTCTTCCTGCCAAAGGGACATCGAACTGGGAACCACAAAATGAAGAGCTGGGCTGTTACTGAAGAACCGCAAACACTCTGGGTGGGAGAGGAGGGGAAAGGAGAAATGCACTGCCAGTCATTTGGCCACAGGGGAGATGACAAAGGAGAGGTCTTAAGAAATAAATCAGATGAGACAAGGAAGCAAGGCACACAACCTGCCAAGACTCATCCTATTCTACTCTTGCCCCATCAAAATTTGCACTGACTGCCACTGACTTCCCCCTCACACAAATCCCATTTGGTCAATCTGCTGAGAAATAGTAAACAGGTTAATCAGCTGCTAAACCTGAACAGAGCAGAAATGGGATGAGATGAAACTCAAACTGGAGAAAAAAAAGGGAGGTTAACTAAAAAAAAAAACCAAACAAGCAATTATGAAGTCTGTGGAAACTCACCAGGAATGGATTTGAACTCTATTAAAAAAAATAAAAGAATCAGTTGACTTCTACGTTATATCTAAACTTCGTGGCATTTGCTTTCTTGAGTGTATCTTACTCTGCTACTAAACTAGAACTTCATGTTGCTTCTGCACACAAACACACAGAACGCGATCATGCCCACAGATATGATCAGAAATTAGTCCTTTCCCAGTTTTGTAATGTGACCAAGCTTAAGGTTCATAATTAGGAAGGAGAAAAAGCTGCATTTTGTAGTCAGAGGATGAACACAGCCTCATTCCCTGTGGGTAGTATGCTGCATCCAAATCCTGCGCATAAAGTCAATTTCCCTTACTTAGCAAGTTCCTGCATCAACCGAGAGCTGGAAAAGTTGAATGCTGCTGTCTTATCAAATGCAAAAATGCCCTTAGTCTGTCAGAAAGGCAGAGAAGGAGAAAAAAAGTATCACACCACAGAATACAAATCTGTGGGAATACAATACCAAGAATTATTGTTGTAATGTAGAAATAGCAGAAGTCTGCATCTCTGTCATCTAACTGTATGAGAGCCATTAGCACACAAAGAAAGGGCCTTTCATCTCTTACTGCATGCACATTATTAAAGATCAATAAAAATACACACAAGGGCTCTTTTCTGGCAATACTAAACTATTTCTTGCAGTTCAGCACTCCAAACATTCTTTTAGTAGGCTCTGCAGTATTTTGCAATTGAAGGCAGCCATTGACTAAAAATAAAAAGGACAGTCAGTATTATTAGCAATAAGATTTTAATAAATGCTAAAGTATAATGAATGTAAGGGTCTTATGATGACTGACATGTTACTAGCATTAAGGACTTCTTTATAGGATGTACTGAATTAATCTGATGAATGTGCTTCTTCAAGAGATGTAGACATGTCTGGCACTTCCTGAATCCCCATTAGTTCTGATGGCCTGTCCACAGGCGTTCCTGTTCAAAAAATACGTGTAAAGGTCACATACTTAAAGTGCCAGCTTGGTGACCTCAAATAATAAAACACCATGCTGATATTTTTAGGTTGCTAATTAAAACCCTTTAAAAATTCTGTTCTTTGACAATTGCAATGCTTGTGAGTTCCAGGCATAGGGCTGTACGATTGTACAAGAGTGCAAGAAGAGCTGTGCTCCAGACAGCCTGCAATTCATGGAAAGATAAAAGACACCAGGCAGACACAAGCAAATGAAAGAATGCAGGAGAATGGTAAGAAAACATTCAGAATAATATTAACATTATTTAAAGGGAATTGTTGAACAGTGAAGTGGACAACGAAGTTTGCCTACCCTTAATTTACGGGAAATTGTGAGATTTCATATACCTCTGCTGTGGCTTTGGGAAAAGCTTTTTCATGTCAATCATGGCACAATTTCTAATGGAATTCTACTTAGCCTGGGCTTGCATATAGTAGTTTCCTTATACAAGTTGTAAAGGTATGCAGGAGGAGAGTGCCTGCTCCTTTAAGAGCATCTGGTCAAGGACCTTCTTCAATGCAACAAGGGATAAGAAGAAAGGGAGGAAGCCATAAAAGAAGAACATATGGGGACACAAACCTATGAGGGAGGCAGTGATGAGAACCAAACCTGGTCAGTCACACTAATTGATGGGGGCATGTGGGAGTTTGAAAATGTTTATTCCAGTAAGGTTATCTGATCTGGAACCTTATCAATTGGGAAACTAGGGGAAAAAGAGGAAACCAGAATTAAAATATAGAGACACATTAACCTGACAAAACAAACATAGAGAACATGACAAGAAACAAACCTTACCACTCACACTAACTGATGGGCTGTTGAGAACCTATGGATGCCACTTCCAGGAAGATCAACCTCAACTTTGCAACTGATAAGACTGTGAACCTGGAGGACCCCAGACAGAGGGGTGCAGGAATCCATAGAGCTGTACAACCCATCAGGGTTGTGCAGAGAAAAGGGAGCAGGAAGAAATGAAAGGAGTATGAAAGAGGCCTGGCCCTGTTTTACACAGGACTGTCAGTATGCTTGCCTGGCTGAGCCCTGTGCCTGATCATAAGTCTGTCCTACCTTCTGTTATCTTATTAAATCTTCTCTTAACTCTCTCTCTGCATAATCCCACTCTGTTGCGCGCGTGTGTATGCTGCAAGGACTAAGTGCCAGCTACTGGTGACACCTGTGTGTGTGAGTGAAAACTGGTGCCAGCTCTTGGAGTCAGATCAGGGGTATGGGCCCCCCCAACCTGTGGTGTCAGCTGCTGGAGCGAACTGGGCTCTACCTTCCAGCCTCTGGAGCAGGAAGGGTACGTGTTACAAAAAATCAGTCACTGTGGGAGGGCTGGCACAGGTGAGAGGCTCCATACCAGTGGCTGGAGCAGCACTGTGGGTCACAGCCTGCGTGTCTGGCACTGGCTGCTGAGGAGGAGGGGTGTCTGTATCTTCCCCAATCCGGGTATATGTGGGGTGCATATCTGTATTTACTAGCAAACTATAACCTGGAGTAGCTTGTGAGTAGGGGTGACCTTGTGTCCAGGCCAGGGCATCAAATGGTCAGGGGGATCTGTGCTGATATGCCCAAGGGACTTGTGAATGTGAAGCGCATGAAGGACAAGTGTGTGAACATGTTTGCTAGTAGGCATCAAGCTGGACTAGTGGGCAAGTAGGAGATCCATGAAGCAGGTAGGCAGGCCTGGGATCTGTGCAGGGGTGCTGGGCAGAAAGAGGAGCTGTGCTGGTGCTCAAGGCATCCACATACATGTGTGTGCTTGTGATCCTAGAGCGATATGTGTGTGCCTGCACTAGTGAACTTTTATTGCCACCAGCCAAAGAGAAGGAAAGGGCCTTGTCTGTGTTTATGTTCTATGTGAGTCCTGTGTGTAGGCAACACCTCAGCTGTGGCAGCGGGCACCCCCTCGGCTGTGCCAGCCTGTGTGCCCAGCCATGTCTGTAGTACACGCTCAGCTTTGCTACTGGTTGAGCCTGCAAACGGGAAAGCAGCATCTGCATCCCTCAGCTCAGGCAAAGAGAGCAGCAGGAGGAGATGGCCGCGCTTCTCAGGTCACCTAACACGAGTCAGCATTCACAGGACCTATTTGGGGTCCTAGAAGAGTAAGGGATTTCCAGTGACTTCCACAGACTTTATGTGCGAGTATCTGCCAAGGCGTTCAGGC